CCCTCCCCTCCCCTCCTCTCCTCTCCTCTCCTCCCTCCCCTCTCTGTTGTTTTCCTCACCTAAAGAGCCACCTGTTGCCATGCTTACCTGAGCACATCACAAAGCCTCAACTGTATATTAAATTTATAAAACTAGATAGCACACAGATACCACAATATCACTAATCCAATGTCTACACACACCACTGCACTGGCCATCCATCCTAGATTTGGTTTATATCCTCAACTCAGTTTCCTGATCAATGTGTCTATCATCAAAGTGTGAATATGGTGGCTCCACCAAATTACTGCCTCATAGATACATTCAGTTAGGCAGAAAGTTCTATCCACATGCGGAAGGTTCTAGCTCTCAAATGACTTCTTACAGGATCTGTATTTCTCCTCTAAGGTCTCCACATCTCTCCAGGAACTATTACAAAGGCTATGGGTGGATTTGACACTGGATCTACTTATGTCATATTCAAATTCCATTTTCCCTACTTCCAACAAAGAAGAGCCATTTCATATATAGATGCATTTGATTATGCTAATCTAATTAAACTCTAATTAAATCAAATTACATGTGATGGATATTAAAATGTATACCTCAACTCATTTACCTTGAATAATAACTCTGTCTTAAAGTCCTATCTGGAATGGACTCTTACCATTTTCTATTCTATTCCATTCAAATTTTTACAACAAGGTTTGGTCACTGATATTTGTCAACTATTTTCTGACCTGCTATCAGGATGATTTAACATTTTTTTTTCAACTCATTAATGGCTAAAATCTGTCCTCAAAAATTCCCTCCTAACTTCATTTTGTCTTTTCCACATATGGAGAGTTTCATTCACAAATATTATCCTCTACAAAAGGTAAAAAGAAATAAGAAAGCTGGTCTTTAAATTCTTCTATTTACCTAGAGAGAAGTCTACTTTCTTAATCAGAGAATTAAAGTGTGAAAAATAGATGGTTAAAAAGGATTCAAGGAGCCTAAATTGTTGCTGCATGTCCAATAAAGCTAGAGACACCACTGGTAACATGAGGTTCAACTTAAGTTATGACTCATTTCCAATTCTAGGAGTATAAATAAATTTAATTAATATAAAAAGGGAGGATAAAGAAAAATAGTGATTAATCGTGCTTTAGCCTAGTTTAGTTACTACAACTTGAATCTTAGCACTGGGGAGTCAGAAGCAAACCCATTGCTGTGAGTTTGACACCAGACTGGTGTACATAGTGAATTTCGGGACAGCCAGGGATATACTATCCTTGTCTCAATAATAGAGAGAGGAGAAGGGTAGGGAGAGGAAAAAAGTCTAAAGTCTTAACTGGAGATACAAATATTTGTCACTTTGTAACTAATATCAAAGTGAACATGTAATTTGCAACCAGTGAACCCAGTTAAAATGGAACTGTGCACTGCTGAGAAGCAGCTCTGTGATAGTGACTGCCTCACATATGTCTTACATGGGATTCAACCCAGCACTAAAATGAACAAAATCAGTCACTCCACAGACGTCTCAATGTGTCAGTGCTTCATGATATGAGTATCTGGGTTCTGATCTCTAGCATCTAAATAAAAGAGATTCAGCTGTGTGTTTCTGTCACATCAGTGAAGGAAGGCAAAGGCAGGATCCCCTGAGCTCCTTGTCCAGAAAGTCTAGCTAATCTGCTTCAGTGACAGACTCAAAAAAATAAATAAATTACAAATAAAAAAAGGTGAAGATGGCCTGAGAAAATGGCACAGTAGGTCCGTGTGCCTGTCGCACAAGCATGAAAACCTGAGTCAGGTTCCTAGCACCTACATAAGAATGCATGGCGCGGCCACCATGTAACACCAGCGCCCAAGCAGAGAGACAGGAAGATGACTGGGATTTTCTGACTTGTCAACCTGGCACCTTGTTTTGTGAGACATCTAGTGTTGAGTGAATGAAGCTGAGATAGGGCAAGAAATACCAATATCTCTCCTGGCACCTGAGTGTGCACACACACACATATATGCACACACATTCTCACACATATGTGCACACATGGACTTATTACACACACACACACACACACACACACACACACACTCACTCACCCACCCCACAAAGAGACAGAAAGATGAGGCAGAGAGCACTAGTCAAAGACACCTGACATCAAACTCCTGACCTTCACATGTGTGCACTTAAATATCTGTACATATCCGCACATACATGTACAGATTGGAACATGTACATCGGAAGTTACACACATAAAGTAAAATAAAGCTATTTCGGTGGGAGGAAGTGAGATATTTTAAATCAATGTTAATTTTAAGACATGAGATACTTAGAATAGATCAGAAGTTTTCTGGGAATTATCAAGACTAATTCTGTCATAAGCAAGTGTTTCATACAATAAGAGGATTTATTTTTTAAAAAGCCCATACATGGTGACACATGCCTCTCCTTCTACTGGGGAAACTGAGACAGGAGGATAGCTTAAGCTTTGGATTTTTAGATAATCCTGAAAAGCAGTGAGATTCCCATATCAAAATAAAAAATAAAATACTGCATAACATACATAAATAGTAATACATAAAGGAGGTATGTGGTGTAACCACTTGGGGTATTTTTATAAATTTTTACATTCATCAAAGTAATTATAAATCGTTCTTACTATGGTCAAACCAAATTTGTTCCTTAGAAAATACTGACTATGCAGAAATAGTTATTCAAGTCTAGTTTTTGAGACCAAATCTTTAATACATCAATTAAGTACCCTAAACTTTTTGGTAAAATGTTATATATTGAGGCTTAAAATATTTACAACTCTTTGTTCTTGTATACAGCTTGCCAAACACAAGCATTTAAATGGCCAAACCTTAGGAGAGAGCAGCAAGGAGAGATAATATCAAAGACGCAAAATCCAATTTTAAATGCGGGTTTTGATTAGGTAAGATGTAAAGAGATTTAAAATTCTGTAGAGTGTGATAGCTTATGCAATGCCCATAAAAGATTCCTATTACCCTAAGAAAACATTAATTTTTGTTTAATTTTGATCACTGCTAATAAAGACTTGCCATAGAAATTGGCTAGTCAGAAAATTTTAATTTTCTCTTCAGAGCTTTTTCTTTTACTGCTTCATCACTTAATTTTGGCTTTGCATAAAAACATTTTTCAGATAGCTGAAGAGATGCTCAGAAAATTCATCTAAAGACACATTTCTTCAAAGGTTTTTCCTATAAACTTTGGAAAGAGACATTTCCCAGTAGTGAGTGGTTCACGGTGATGCTTCTGCTAAGGAAGTTGCTGCTGATTATGCATTTTAAGGAAAATTTCATCTTCTCTTACTAGGAGAACGCTTATATTCTGAAGATTGACTGCATCATCTGTGGAGTGCAGAATTCTGACATTATTTAATCTCCTCAAATGCCAAATGGGAAACTAAAAGTTTATATATTCAATGCCTTCTTCCACCTTTGTTGTTACCCTTCTGTTGGTCACATTTAATTATCCTTTTACCTACCCCTAAGAATACAAAAATGAATATGAAGCTAGGTAGACAATCCAATTTCATGTAAAAGAAAACATGAAACAATCCAATCTCTTAGGATTGTTTATTGCCTTTAAACATTATTGTATGAGGGTTAGGAGATAGATTACCTGCTCATTTCCTCTAGCCTCTGCTTGGTACCCCATTTGTATATTGATCATTGATTCCTCATTTCTAAAAGTCTAAGGATCCAGGTCTTATGCATCCCCAAACCAATAATAATAGCAGTAGCTTTTAAACAACTCAAAAGTTGATGATACTGTAAAAACATTTCCCTCTCCTCTAGTCGGCCTCCGGCAATATGATAAAAGAAACATCACTTAACCAAGACACTTACTCCAGAGCTCTTGTTTTCAGGTAATTTTATCTAACTGACTAGTAGTAGTTTTTCATTACACATATAATAGAGACACTAGTATATCTACTCCCACATGCAAAGTGATTAATAAAATCAGTAACCAATGATCTGGGTAAGAGGTGACATTTTCAGTCAATAAAACCAATGCCATACTTACAGTGGTGGTTGATGGGGCTGGCTTTCAGCATTTCTTGGTGTTTTGCAGGCAGCAGGCTTCGCCATGTCCCTGACAACACACCTGGGGCGCATGATAGACAGCACAACGCACTATTAATTATAAAAGGGTAGAGCATATCTGGAAATTAAACACCGTACTGAAAACACAATCTAAAGGCAAGTCTTGTTGAGCCCATTAACCTTGGGCCTGAAAAGTCCCTGGATATTAGAATTCTTTGACTTGGGTTTTCACAGGTTCAACTATACCCACATAAATTTTATGCTGCCCTCGATATTTGATTTTCCTTTTAACATCAGTAAAATGATTGTCAGCAGCTTTTCCCATAGCAGAAAAGCTATTGAAAGCCTTGGTCTCACCATGTGAAGTCATCTGAGAGCTTAAAAATAGGAACTGCTGCTATGTTGATAGGTTAAAAATCCAGCAGAATTTTCTATGGCTTTGGCTGTCTCGCTAAAAGATACGGACTCTTACTGCCCATCATTAACTACCACACAGGTCTCCCTGTTTATGCTAAAAGAGATCTGAGAGGCTCTAGATATTCCCCCATATTACAAATTCTCTTCAAGCTGAGGAGGAGAAAGAGATGAAGGACAGGTTCACATGGGAAGTTTGTTATGTGTACATGAGTAATAATTCTTGAAAATATCTTTCTTTTAAGCCCTTCATGATAAAGTAAATGCAGAAGGTAGACAAGGCATCAGAGCTCCAAAGGACAAGAGGAGTTGGTATTCTTATTTAAGTCTTAATGGGGCTTAGAGCACCAAAGGTATCCATTGGCCAAAATTAGAAGACATCTCCATCTGACTCCACTTGAGTGACTCATAAACATCTGAAAGCTTTAAAGCAAATACAGCTCTAAATGGAGAGGGTTGGTTATACTACAGAGGCTGGGCATTATAGACTTTGCTAGATATAAATACCCTGAGGTTCTAGGGCCTATAAGCATGAGCCTGGCTCTTAAGAATTTTCCTGGAGATTTGGCTACACTGCTCCAAATTAAGGCCAATCATGTTATTCCAGAAGATTTCTAGGGAGACATTGGTAATAAAACAGTTTTGTCAGAGAAAAAGCTGCATGGCAAAATTCTCCACTTCTGAAAGAAATCATACAGGTAGACACAGACACAGGCACAGAAATGTGCATACATAGCAGACACACACTGCTCATTCTATCAGCAAGTACACGGGGAAATCACTATGTAATCATAATGAGAGAAGAGAGAAGAGAAGGAGCCATTTCAAACTCTCTGTACCTTCCTCCTGGGATAAAGGCTAAGTCTGGTGTGGCTGATGCCCAATAGATGGGTCTCATGCTGAAGGAGGTACTCATGTATCAGCACTAAGACAACTTGAAGGAAGGCAGCTGTTCGAAGCCACCCAGGAGGATTTCTCAGGCTTGGAACTTCAGTCTCACTTTTACAAGGTGTAAGGCCCAGTAACTTAAATTTCAGAGCACTGGGAAAAAAAAAATCGTTGACAATTCTCACTCAGCCCAAAATAGCATATACAGCCTGTTTGATCTACATGGGCTGGCTTCTGAAAATACCACCGAGTTGGAAAATTTTTGAAGAATTTGAGAATCAAAATTCTGCTTTTTCCTCTCTTAAGGATCAAGTATTTGTACAAAGCTTGGAAGGAAATCTACCACATAAAGATTTTCTTATTCTTTGAAATGACTATTTTCTAAGAATTGCAGATAAGCCAAACTATTTTTTTTTTTGTAACTACAAAGCCATGTCTTTGGAAGAAAGCTTTACCTAATCATAAGAACCTGTGGTTTCATTTTAAAACCAAACCAGTTGGCATATTTCTTCCATTTCCACTTGCTACACAAACTTACCAACAACAACAACCACAAAAAACTTGATCTGGTTTTCTGAACTTTGAATCTTAAATAATAAGAAATGAGTACACTGCTCTTCAAATCACAGAGCACTTAGAATTAATTTAAATATACACATTTTAATTTACTTCCTTGTTTATGTTTGATATTGGAGATTGAATCTAGCCAAGCATTCTACTACTGCTGTATGCCCAGCCCGCTTTTCACTAACTTGCCCAAGCTAGTCTTGAACTCACTCTATAACCCATGCCTCAAACCTGTTTACTCTAATGTCTCAACTTCCTCAGTGGCAGGGATTAGCGCCCTGTATAACTAAACAAGCTTGATTCAAACCTAATTCTAAAAAACAAACAAACAAACAAAAACAAGACAACATCACATTCCCCACACTAATTTTTATCCTGAAGACTCTTGCTCCTTCACTGGCTATAGGTAGCTACAGAATCTGAGTTTTGAGGGAAGAAACAACTAGCTTTCGATTGCTAGTTATTCATAGTTTAAAGGGATTCTTAGTCAGGATAATATATATTCCTACATTTTTCTAATCTGAATTCTTTCAGATAAAAAAAAAATCTTCTAAGACAAAAAATGTGTGACAAGGCAAGAGAAGTGCAGAGGCTCCTCCCTCTTGTATTCTTGCTGAGGTCATTTTAGGTTTAATTAGAATTTGATCTCCTTGATGGTTAACCCCACAGAAAATTATCAAACTCTATTCTAGGAATCCAAGGTCAGGATATCCTAGCTAACTTAGCTTCTGTTAAACTGTTTATGTAGAAACTCCCTCCAGCTAACCAAGGGGTTCTGTTAAATTGCTTGCTTCTGCAAAGTCCTCTGTAGCTGCCAGTGATATACCAGATGTGGTTTTTGCCTTCAAAAGCCCTGGGCTCTAGACATCACAGGTTATACCTATTTCCCTGAACACTTGGATGTACTCCCAGCTAGCTGCCATGAAGACTTTCAATAAACTGTGTTTGAGTGATCATCATCTCTGGTGGGCTACTCATAACAAAAGAAAAATTATTCTACACTCAGAAGAAGCTTGCTAGCCTATAAAAATTAACATTCCTTTACAATTATAATTGAAATGTAATTCAGTTTGGCGAGTTACAATCTTACAATTTTTGACAGTTCTAATGTATGGAATTTGTTAGCTCAAGAAATTTACATTATTCCCTATCCACTAGATACATTATAATGATAAGGTCCCTTCCTACTTTAAGAAACACAATGGCATTTCAGTTTGTTAAAGGTCTCTCCAGTATTCACTTCCACTATATTCAAAGAGCACAAATCCTGCGTGTTGTTCCCTTCCAGGGACCTTTACAGTCTAATCAAGAGTTCAAGGCCTTTGACCTCTAATCCTTTCTGATGTCTTCAATTACTGGATGAAAAAGTCAGATCTGGACTCTTACAGTCTTGTTCTTGCCTGTAAGCAGTCTGCTATCTCTCAAGCATCACTGAAGACTTATGCAAATGAGGCATTTTGAAGCTACCTCAGGGGACTGCTCCCCCTGACCCCACCCTTGGCTCTGCTGGGTTTTAGAATGCTTGCAATCAATTCAATGAATGGCTGCCAACTGCCCACTCAACCAATTCTCCTGGTCCATGCACATTCACAGGGGAGAGAAATTCACATTGCCACAAGCCTGCGGATGAGACTATGGAAGGGCTTTCGGCTCTCCAAACAGGAAGTGCGTGTGCTTCCAGATACTAGCCTATGTGAATTACAAATTCTGAATGCCTTCAAGAAACACAGTTTACATAATCCCTTTCCTCTCTTTCCCTCCTATCTATCTCCCCCTCTCCCAGCCCTTCTTTGAGACTTTTCATTTGCATGTTAGCAATCATTCCCCTCTACCAGGGCTTCTACATAAATATACCATCACTATTTTATAAAACTTTATCCAAATTTAAACTTTAAGTTGTTTGTTGTTTCATAGCTAATGTGAGGCAACTACTTCCCAGGCTCTAAGCTGTGGCTAATAGTCTATAGATATTGATGTTAGTATTCTGTCTAAATTCCACCTCCATAGTTATCTGGCAACACCCAGGTATGCTCCTCCCCACAGTTACCTGACAGCAGCCAGGTAGGCGTGCCCACTATAAAAGGGGCTGCTTCCTTCCTCCTCTCTCTCTTACTCTCTTACTCTCTTGCCTCTAGCTTCCCCTCGCCCTTCCTCCCTTCCCTTCCCCCTCTCTCCACGTGGTCATGGCCAGCCTCCTCTACTCTTCTCTCTCTCCTCTCGCTCTCCCACTCTCTTAATAAACCCCCTCCCCTTTGAAACCATTTGGTCTGGTGTTGTCTGTTCCAAGCTGTGTGCCGAAGTCTAAACAATTGATATGTTTGTTTTTAGTCCCATAGATTTTGTATCATTAGTGGAGACAACTTCAGTTAAACAGCATAGGCCATGCACACGCCACCATATGCGTATGCCAACTTCCCATGTGTTACCCATATTCACGGTAAAGGCATAAGAATAGTTATATAACCTAAGGATGAGAAAATGAAATACTTCACATAGTCTTCTAATTTGCTGGCCAGCAAAAAGCAATCTGACAGGCATTTTTACTGGACTGCTTTCCGTCTCACCCTCAAAATATTTCAGGCTGTTCTCAATCACGTCATTTACCACTAATTACATAAAATATATGCAGAGTTCCTATCTCCAGGCCAATGTGTCTTCTTAACCCTGGTCATACATGTAATTGCCTCTCTAGCACTGAACACCTTACTGACTACTAAACAACAACATCTCCTAAATGGACCTTCATTCCTCAAATCTGATTCCCCAGTAGGTATCTCTATCTCAGTTAGGAGTAAAAATCTACCCATAGCTGTTAGGTCCAAACACTGGACTTGGCTCTTCTCTTCCTCATACCTGTATCTAATCTACCATATGAACTGCATTTCCAAAACAGGTCTAGAGTCTGTTTGGAGACTGTGTCTCATCTCCCCTTTACACACATTGTTTCAGTTTCATTCTGAACACAAGGTGTTCATCTGGAGGACACAGGAAAACTTAACTGGAGTTGGTTGTCTTCTTCTACCATGAGCGTGGGTCCTGAACATCTAACTTAGGTCATCAGGCTTGGAAGCAAGCGCCTTTCCACATGGGAGCCGTCTCAGTGAGTCTTACCATGGATTTCTGGTGGATCGCTCAGTCTTTACCCTTGCTCTGGTCTTTGAGTTTATTCTCAGCACAGCAGCCAAGTGAAAA